GGCCCCATCAAAATTAAATTTTACCAGACCAACCGACTGCTTACACTTACACCATCTGCAAGGGGGGCTTGGCGCCAATGGAACAGGAATCTCTTGATGATTGGGCATGACATCGTCCAGAGATTGGACAACAAAAGTCTGGGCTTTAGCAAGAATCAATTCGGGAGACCAAACTTCATTTCGGAAAGTAGCAACATTTCAAGCCAACCAAAGGTGCCAAAGGATGGAGAAGGCCAAAAGGTATGAGATAGTGGGGGAGTCCTCTGATGAAATCCATATTGAAATCAACTCTGATAAATGTTTTTGTTAATAAAGGTCATATTGGAAGCCAAGTTCAGATCCAAACTAAACCATTTTTGCAATACAGCACTTGAGGAACAAATGGTCGATGGTTTCCTCCTCAATCATACAAAGGGAGCAGCAAGGGTCAATATTTTTCCTCAACACTCTGAGCCTACTCTTCGTGAGAAGAGCATCATTTAAAGATCTCCACAAAAATATCATAATTTAGGGACAAGTCCATTTTAAACTCTAAAACTTGAACCATTCACAATTCCCGAATTGGATGCCCACTTTTGATGAACTAGGGAGCTCCGGAAATAGGAGGCGATGAACTGATGCAGTAGTGAGCTGCCCATGCGGAGTAAATGTCTGTTGGAAATTGGGGTCATTGTAACTTTGGAGGAGAAACTCTGAGGCGCGTCTGAAGAAACTGTCTTTAGAACGTTATTTGCCCCCACTCAGTTTCATTGAATTTGCTGTTGGGTTACAGGCAAATCCGTTCCCAGAATACAACAGAGTCTTGGGCGAGAATCTGCAACCAGCAAAGTTGAAGAATCTCCGGAGAAACCTTCTGTGAGACTGTAGTGGACCGGATTGAGAGAGAGAGAGAGAAAAAAAAAAAAGTGGATTTCGAAAGTGTGTTTTTAAAGTCTGATTCATGCTCCTTAAATAGTTTATGAAAAGGTATAAAGAAAAGGTAGGTGCGCGAGAAGTGCGAGCAAAGTGCACCTCTAAAGCGCTTCATTGCGTTGCACACACATGCATGCACGCGCATGCACATTGCGTGGTATCAAACCCCCATACTCTCATCTACTATTTCTAAAGAGTGTAAATTAATTCCTATTAAAATACTGAGAACAAATCTTATAATTTTTCCAATGTGGGACAAGTTCAAAACTGAATTTTATAAGAGAAAAGCTAATTTTTCAATCAAGTGTATAAGTGCAATTTCTCATGTAATTGACCAATCGAATCCATTGGATTTTAATCTCAATCCAACAAGGTCCATACAAGATGATCCTCCATTGTTGTGCAACGGGAGATCCAAAGAAAAATTGCTTGAGCTGATTGGGGGAGAATATGCGATTCACCATTTCATAGAATGTTGTTAAATGAGTTCCGCCACTTTGAAAGAGTTATTCATTCTGTGCTGAAGGATGGGAGCTCGAGAAGCACCATTTGGCAGACAAGGATCCAAAAGAGCATCAATCTCCCAGCCATTTCCAACAATCCATCTGCATCCTTTAAGTAAGTGAGATCTGCATGCGAGAATACTCCGCCAAATGTAGGAGTCACCAGCTTTGGATTTTAAATATAAGAAATTAGAATTTTTTATGTATTTTGCATGGAGCACCTTTGCCCGAAGAGAAGATGGACTCCTGAGCAACCTCCAACCCAACTTAATAATTTGGGCTCTGTTAGTTGCTTCTATATCTCGAAAACCAAGCCCACCACATTTTTTTGGTTGACAGAACAGAGTCGGACCACCAGAAGTTTCGGCAGATATTGTTTAGATCATTGCACTTCTTCTTTGGCAGAAGGGAAGACTACATGATATACTGTAGAACTGCTTGAAGAACTGTCCACTTGCTATCAAGTTAAGGCTTTTATCCATTTGGAATTAATGCTGGGTTCGGTGTTAGTACGAGTAAACAAAATCTCAAGGTTTGTACTTGCAGATTGAATTTGGAAAAGGGAAGTTTCATGGTGTTAGTAGTTTAAATGAAAAGACAGTTTTTCCTTTTGTTAAAATGTAAAACATATTTGTCAGTCTTGAGATTATGGAAAAGGGAAGTTTCATGGTTGAATGCGTTTTAGAATTTACCTTGCAAAAGTGAAATGATGGTTTTCCCTCTCTAGTGGAACAAACTAGAATCAATTAAGATGGATAGGTTTGATGATTCGGAGACAAATTCCCAAAAAGACATTGGAAATCTGAGAAACCCATTTGAAATCCGATATGGATTTGCGTATTTGGCCTAAAATAATTGAACCAATAAATTTTCTGGGAAGTTTAAACGTCAAATAGGAATTTGCAAAAATGCAAAAAGATTTCATTTTGGCAGAGGAATTTTGCAGACTTGATCACAGGTGGATCAGCTAGGATGCAATTCAACTGAACTCTAATCGTATATTCAGGTTAAGTTCGATTAGACTCGGTTTGAGTTTAATTCTAATCAATATTGAATATCAAAATAAGATAAATAAATTATTCGAATTCGACCTCAATAATTTATTGATTTTCAAGCTTTTAAAATAAATTTAAATTTATTGGATATTTAATTGAACGAAGCTCGAATTAGGAAATAAGGTTCAAAACAAATTCAAACCTAATAATATTTTAATACAACTGAGTCAAGACATACAAAAGCTCGGCTCGGCTTGATAACACCCCAGGGTCGGGTCAGCTGCTTTCTTCCAACCCAGTTTGATTTATACTGTACAATATGAGCTATTAATAACGCATAGAGGGCAAAGCAGGATTTTTGAAAATTAAAAAAAAAAATTGAATCAACTATAAGTCTATTTGAAAATTTCGGTACGTTAAAACTCAAGGTATTTTAAGTTTTTTACGCATTGAATTGTCCAACTATCAGCACTTCTTTTCTCACATTATTGTCTTTAAAATTAAGTTAATTAACGTATCTTCGCTAACCCAGGAACAATATTTTAAAAGACCGATCGGTATGCCCATCTAATAAAATTACTAATGGAGAAGTTTCTTTTCAGTTTGATACATAATCTATTTTTCAAAAGTTTTCGTTTATGATAACTATTATAGTTTAGTACATGGGGTTTTCTCGATGTTCTGCATTTCTGCAGGTATAAGATGGCTGCTACTTGATTCGGATTTGCTTCAGTTTGATTATTCTGTTTTTTCTTTTATTTTTTAAAGAATGTTAAATGACGGACGACTTAAAGGCATACATCTTCTCTGACTTCTAATATTTAAGCAATCCAAAGTTCAGCTCGTAAAACAGCAGATCTGGAGTGCAGATTTCCTGCAATTCATGCTCTGCATATCACGCTGCATTTGTACTCATTCAGCCACATCAGTTGCTGTTAGGATTATGTGCTGAATTAAGACTCCGTTCAGTGTATATCTTCTTATTATCATGTATAGTTAAGATAGGAAAGATATGTTTGAGTCCCTATAAACTTAAGAGTTCTAGTTGCCATAAGCTTAGAAGTTTCGATGGATATATAATCATGTATATAACCATGTATATTTTTGAATTCTCAATGAATAAGATAGAAAGAATCAACCGAAAAAGCTCTGGTTTTACAGTTGCGCGTGAAAAGAAAGTGGTTAAATATGATGCAGTTTGAAGAAGAAAAAATAAATAAATTCATACTCAACTTTGATCACCTAGTCGAGAGAACGGGGAACATTTTTTGTTGTAACTCAAGAAAGAAATTCGGTCTGGCGTTTGTGGTTTTACAGCTTGTTAGTCTTAGAAGTTGTTAATAATGGCGGATGAAATGATCCTATTAGATTTCTGTCCAAGCTCTTTTGGTATTAGGGTTAGAAATTACTTAAGCTAAGATAGTAAAAGGGGATCAAATGAGTACAGAGATTAGGGCCTCCAAAATAAGAGCATCTATTGCTGCGACCCATTTGGGAATTACTCATCATGGTTCACTACATTGAATCATTAATGAGGTCTGAAAGAACAAATGTCTGTTGTTGCCCCTTCGATCCATATATAGTATACACACAAGCCAGGCTTTGGGCTGATTACACAAGAAGGTGAGTTTCTCTGCAAACATTATATTCTTTGTATTTCCTTTGATAGTTGTAGGGCTGTTACGAGTCGGGTTGGATCGGTTTATTGAGGTTTTTCCAACCGGTCTGACCTGATCGGATTACCTGAGATGGAAACCGAAACCGACCCAGTGTTAAGCAAAACCAACCAGGTCGGGTTGGGTTGGTTTCGGCTCTAAGTTCATCCATGCCCCCCATGGCCACCTAGTTTTCTGGAAATATATTTAAAACTGAAATATGTATTTTAGAAATATATATATATATATATATATATATATAAACAAAAATATACATACAAATATATTGGAATATATATTTTCTAGAAATATATATCTGACATATTTCATAATATATATTTTTTAGATATAGATATTGGAATATATATTTTCAGATATTTCAGTTTTTAATTAAGTAGGAACTAAGTCGAACCGAACCCGACCCGAACCATCAGTTTATGAATTTATACAACCCAAAACCGACCGGTGCTGATGAAAACCCGACCAACTCGGGTTGGGTCGGTCTTGGTCGGGTTGGGCTTCTTATGAACAGCCCTAGCTAGTTGAATCTATTTCCTTATTTTTCGTTTTTTGTATGGACCAATAAGTATGCTCATTTAATTCAACATATTCTCCATTGATGGGTTTCTCCATCGTAATGAGAATGGTTTAAAAAATAATTGGATAGGCTGGAGCAGATTTTGCAGGTCATTAAAAGGTCTTGGCATTAAAAACCAAGGGAATATAGAAAAAGAAGTCCAGAATTGATGTAGAATTTAACGTACAAAAGTTGCATGTGTCTAGATAACTCATACCTACAACTTGATTTATTTGTGGATTATGTCATGACACAATTTTAGAGACAAGAGTTGAACCATAAAGCTGTGAGCTGTCCTCATAGATGCGCAATCAAATCAAGCAGCAAGAAATAAAACTTGTGCATGGACTTCTTTTTATTTAAGATATTTTTGCTTGTATAATTGCATAATGAATTAATTGAGCCATGTCTGAGTACATAACAACCAAACCATTAGAAGCACAAAAAATAAACAACTATTCCTATTATCATGAAAGAGAACATAGTCAAAATGGAAAACTGAAATCTTGATGGTTGTGACTTGGCAGCTACCACATGTTTTCTAGTGCACATTGGAATCTTTAGACATTCACGTTTGACATTTAATGCTTGTGAAGATACTAAAATTGTAATTACATTGTTCAACAGCTCAACAAGTACTTTCCATTGTTCATGAATTAGAGAATTCTCCCCGCTTAAAACTTTGTAGCCACCTATATCCATGGAGAAATGGGCTTCTAAAGTTGAGAATAAATTGATACCAATGTCACCTGTGCTTGAAAGCAATCTTGCAGTTGAAGATTTTTTATCAGGTACAAAACTCTGTTCATGTGAGGAAAAGTCAATTCTAAGATTCATTTCTTTAAAAAGAAAATGAGGCCCAAGATTGGAAACAATGCACAATTCTTACCTGCATGATTGATAAAACATCCTTATAGATGTCTTTGCAATGTGTTACAGATACACACAGCTTTTGTGGAATCCCTCGAATCAATAGCATCTCTTGTTGAAGTTTAGACATCTCCACCAATATTTGGTTGTTCAAGAATAGCTGTTTTGCATGACTTCTCTGCAAATAATTCATAGGAAACAAATTAAACTGCTGTGAAGAAAATGAAGTCAAGTTTCTTATTACATGGGAACAAGCAACAAAAGTGAGAGAAGTTACAAACAGAGTTGACTCTTATTTGCAATTATAAAAGTTGACAAAAATATAATGCATGATGGGAAAAGAGTGGAAAACCGCTCTTTTGTTTGTGAAAACTGAAATTATATACTGCCAATTATAATATGGAATTCCTAATGATGGCATCAAATATAGTACAGAAATAGCAAAAGATTAGTGTTAAAACATTTTATTGCTTTGTTGATCCCAGCTACAAAAACACCGTACCATCCAATGCGTTTTAGCAAGATATCAGTTTTAATTCAAGTCTCTCCAGAATGTCTTCACTAGACCCTTGTGACATGTTTTCTCTAAGTCACATTTAACAGTCCTAGTATCAGATGACATTAGAATTTCACTATGGAGAAACAAGGGAGAAGTAAAGCAATTGCCTATTGGTTTGAGGAAATTAAGAATTTCAAAAATATATGAATAATTAATTACACAAGTATAGTCAAGGCAAATGGAAGACCTTGGTGAGGCATGGGCTAGAATTCAGCATGTTAAAAAGGCAAGTGATAAGCATGTATCAAGCTCGACCTTCACTCATTTTAGGCCCCAAAGCAGGGCCTGACCATATGAACCTTCAAGCTGAGTGGGCCAGCTCAGGCTTGGACCAGTCCTACCAAAGATGCAGTCTTTCATGTTATGAATGATATATAATCTACTATATATAGTTCATTGTCTCCTATGAGACTAATTTACCCGGTTCCCTGTTCTAGTCTTTCTTCTTCAAAACACTAGATCCTTTCACTCTCATCACTCTCTCTTTTTGCAAACTTTTATCCCCTTTTACATCTTTTCTTTGTAAGTAAGTGTTAAGAAATTCAACATAATATAATCAACTTATTTCTAACACAAGACATACTTTTTTCTTGCAAGTGCAGTATCGTGTGTTCACCAAAAAAAGAAAAGGTAAAAACATTGAAAGAAGTGTATCATGATTGCCAAGCCTATGGCCTTGTTGTTGGGCATCACCTAGTGGTGCTTGTTTTAGATGCATTGCCTACATCTAGTGAAGGCCTAGACATTTTAAGGCAAACATTTATTAGTGACCTTACTAAAACTTTGCTGACCTATTTGCAAGCCCAAAACCTTAGAAAAAAGAAGGAACGAGATAAGTATAAAGTCACTGACCTCAAGTTCATTTTTTTCTTCAATAGTATGTTCCAATTGTCTCTTGAGATTTTGAATYTCATCTTTGTAATACTCAATTGAATAACCCTGGAAGATTATAAATACGTAAAGAAACAAATAAAATCAATTTTAAGTGAGACAACTCATGCAATAGGCATTAAAAGATTCCATAAAAGTCCACTATGCAAAACCAAGTTAAGTGCATGCAAGTACAGTTAAAGAAAACTGGAAACAATCATTCATATTCGATAAATGCTCATTTGACATTCCAGGATGTATAGTGGCACAAGATTTTCTTTGGCTCCTTGACATTTTTATATATTGAAAATATTTAGCATGTATAGTATGTCTCCCATGGGCACAATTCCATGACACCTTGAATTTCTTCAATTTTGTAAATTGTCTATATAGAATCCGAGGTTGGATTTGCATTTTGAGGCAGAACTAGAATTGTCAATTATGTGAATTGACATATTGTCATTTGGGTACACTTTTGGCACCAATTTGGAGAAGAGTGGCATTTTCCGCACTGAAATCTGCATCTAGATAAATTCAAAATGATTGAGGGGATTAGTCACTTTATTTCTACAGAACTGAGTCAGGAATAGAGTTAAAATCCAACTCGACCTCTACCATCCAAACACAGCCTAGTAGTTGTAGTTTCAAAACATAAGTTGCATGAATTAAATGGTAACCTTCTAAAGCTGAAATGCACTGTGAAATCTTAAATGACATTTCCTAAGGCATATGCTACTTTCATGTCTCCAATTTTCTTGAAATTGCTTTCTACTTTATTAATGTAGTTAGCAAACAAGTTCTATGAAATGTGAAATGAATTAGTCAAACTAAGGCACCAGAAGTGAGCATGTTTCATTGTTATTTTAAACCTCTGTACAAAATGGCATAATCTGACCCATGCGTTCCAGACTTCCAGTTAGAGCCTCAACTATGTCATTGATAATACAAAAATAGTTCAATATGAAGAACAATGAGATGCTAAACTTTTCAATGTACCAAATGAGAAAATATATCTAGTGAGCAAACCAAGTTCAAAGAAAATCTTATGGAAATAAACTCACAGGTGATGGTCCTGATGGATCACTTGATGAAAATGAATGGGCTTTTATGGAAGGAGTCATTTGAAGTGAATTGAGATCAGTGTTATGGCCTTTGTTAAGCCTCAACCACAACTCTTCATCAGCAACATTGCTGAAATCATCTGGAAGCGGACTAGAGTCAGGTAGCTTTGAATAATTTGATCGTTTTGCAACAAAAGTGTTACGAACTGATTTAAAGCAAGGGGTCTTGAAAGCATTCTCTTGGCATGTGCTATGGTCGTCATTGCTGTCTTCCTCTAGTCTTTGTCTCACAGGCAGCTGCCCCCACCCAGTAGATAATAGAACAAGAATCCCAGCATCAGCCATACTAGATGATGATGGAAAAAACTTTATCTTCAAATCATAAAGCACAGAAACCAAAAAAATACAAAAATAAGAATGAAGAAAACGAAAGAACACAAACAAGGAATACTATCATATTCTCCTTGTTAAACAAGTGTTCCATGGTTCAGTTCCACTCGAGTATTTTGTAAAATCTCATTTCATATTAAGAGGTGAGGCTAATTATCTCTTTCCACTACAACGGGGAGTTAGAAGTAATTTACAACCTTTAGCACAGCAGGTCTTAACTCTTTCATAGTGAGACAACCAACAATAATTCTCCTCAAAGAGTGATTAAAAGCATAACAACGCAAACAGAACTGACACAGTTTTCACTGATCAATTATCACTTCATTATTTAAACACTAGAATTTTCCATGACTACTATAGGGAAAACAGATGAATGACAGTTGAAAAACCAGTAGAAATAAATCAGAAAAGCATTCTAAATACAAAGATCAGAAAATAACTTTGCTTTAGGTAAAAGGATTCTTAAGAATTTGAATGTAAGAGGCAGACAACTCAGAAGCAGAAATCACATGCATTTTACTCGATATTCAAATTCGAATTGAGTAACCCAATTCATTGTTGATTTGATATCAATGTTGTGATTGTTTTCATGGGAAACAGGTAGCATTAATAAAAGAAAAAAGGATATGCAAGAATAAGAGGAAAGAACAAGAGAAAAGGATTTTTGGTATAACACCCAAGATACAAAATCAACCCTACTAAAAACATTGATACTCATTGTTTTTCCTGAGATGTCATATTATGATGAAAAATTGGCAAAATAGCCATCTTAACAGGTTGGTGGTTATAGCCAAAAAAAAAATTGAAATTTAACAAGAAGTTTGCAAAATACCTCCTACCAAATTCTGGTAGGTCCTTCCATGAAGTGCTTCCACAGAAGAATTTTTGAAACTAAAATAATCCCATGGACAATCTAATAGTTTATGCTTAACTCATAACCTATCTACACAAACATCATCTTTATTGAGGATGAGAACATTTTTCTCTCTCTAATTTATTTCTTCTACATGATGCAGATTTAATAAATAATTGGAACTCCTGGTGGTGAATAATGCATAAATGGTTAAATGGGCAGAACCAATTTACAATTCTGAAGAAAATAGCTGGTCTGAAAATGTATCATCCCAATTTTTGCAGAAGAGGTAAATTATCGTAACAAAGATGCAAGTAATTTACATGCTCCCACATCTCAAGGCTAACTGGCTAAGGTGTTAATTCTGTGGAAGAGGATGTCAACCGCTGTCCTATTAGCTATTAATAGAATAGTCACAAAATATTTATATGGTAGATATTAGATAAATTCAAAAATAGTGGATTATCAAAATAGAAACAATATTGTAGTAAAGGACCATTTTGTGACAGAAATGTGAATGCTTAGATGGATGAGTCGTAAAATTATAAAGGACAGGGTTAGAAATGAAGTCATAAGAAGGAAAGTAGGAGTAGCTCCAATAGGTGATAAAATGAGACAAAGTAAATTTAGATGGTCTGATCACATGCATAGAAGACCATCTACAGCACCTGTTAGAAGTGATCTGTTAAAAGTTGAAGGGGCTAAAAGAGCTATGGGCAGACCGAAAAGGACTTGCATAGCAGTAGTAAGAAATGAATAAAGTGGTCATAATTTAATGATGGATATGGCACTGAGCAGAATGGAATGACTAAAGGACCATAGGGAAATGGATTTCCTTTTCTGAGGTCCAACCTCAACTGATGATGATGATGATGATGATGATGATTATATTAAAGGACCACTGGAAAATGGATTTCCTTTTCTGCGGTCCTACCTGAACTGAATCTCCGTCTTGCTCCGAACAACTAACAATACTGTTTATGTTGTCTATTTTCATCTGCTGCTCCTTTATGCACTGATTACATTCTTTATGTGATTTCCTCTCCTCCTCAAGTTCCATTGCAAGTTTTTCACGCTCTAGTTCATACTGATGAAAGGAAACAATAGAAGTTAACAAGTTCTGCAGGGTGCTTAGGACAATGAGTCCAGAGGCAGGCAACATAAAAAGCATAGGAAAGCTGTTGAGAGCAAAAACCTACCTTCAGCAATTCATTCCTCAGTTTCAAAATCTCTTGCTCAAGCACCTCAGACCGAGATCCCTAAACAACAAATTTTCTATGTATACTCAGTTATAAACCTCTAAAAATATAAATTGAAAAGAAGATGAATCATAACCTGAAGTTTCTTACGCAGTTCCTCTATCTCTAGTTTCTGTCGCCTCAATAAGGCTGCATCAGTTAGGATCTATGACAAAATAAACCACATTTAGAAAATGTTGAACAATTCGAGCACAAGAATAAGAAATATGGACCTAGATTTTAGAAGATCAGTTCAAAGGAAAGTAACAATGACATTTCAAAAAATAATTATTGAGAGAGAAAGACAGAAGTCAGCATGGCAGAAAATAACATGGTCAAATCTACAACTTGACCATAGAAAGAGGATTTATACATAGTCATTGTTTAATGGGAAACTATATTTGATTCATATTCCATTCAACATTAATGCTTAAATTCACATGAATCAAACCCAATGAAAAGGTGCAACCAAAGCAAAGTATGCTAGCATGCTACATAATGAAGTAAACTTTTTCAGCTTTGAAAATCGTCTGGTTCTTTTGATAACAAACTCTATAACAATATGCAAATTTAAAACTTATTGAAGTAGTGATATGATTGCTGTAGATATGAGAAACTCTTCAGTGAACATGGATGTATGACCCTAAGAGAGATATTTCAGTCAATTCCTACTACAATGAACATATGATACCCAGATACCTATACACCTTTACAAGGGTGCCATATTGTGTTAGGTACTTCAATTTTTAATGCAAGTTCTGTATCCAGCTCCTTGTCCATCCACATCCCTACCGTATCATGGTAAAATAAAAGGAGACTAGCAAAATCTACTTCAAGGCTGGCAAAGATTTGGAATAATTCATTTCCCCTCAGGAGGAAGCATTTGCTATGTAACATAGTAGTTACAATCCGGAAAGTTCCAACTTAAAATCAGTTGAGATGTAGATATATCAGATTAGATAGCAAGCATCTGCTATGTAACATAGTAGAAGAGGATACCAACCATTTATTTGTGCAATGCAGGTCTCAAAGAAGTTTGGGTTTTTTTTCTTCATATTTTGGGTGGTCTGATCACTTCCATCATAAGCTACAAACTCTTCATGGCCAGCAATTGCTTTATAGACTAATCATCTGGAAATCAACACCCAATCACCTTTCAGGTGAAAGGAAAAAAAAAAGAAAATCCACATAAAATATTCACCTCATTAACTTGGATACAATTGGTAATGCATTTAGCTCTACTGGCAAACTGGAGGGTTCCCCTTGTTTCTTCAATGTGAACCTAAATACATTAAGTACAGAAGGTAATAAACTCCTCAAATTGCAAATCTGTACAACATGCAAAAAGATTAAAAAATGAACAAAAAGTACCTCCTCTGGTGCTACTGTACAAATTATGGACGTTTTAGCATTACCACCCAGAGCAGGTTGAAGTATGCGGGTCAGTTTACTATCACGATATGGAATATGCCCCCTGCACAAGCAATACAGTCCTTAGCATTGTGGGTTCACTGAGCAAGGTTCTGGTTGCAAAAGTGTTAAGTACCTCTGCTTTCCACCATCACTCAGTTTGTTAATTACATTCCCAAGAACCATTAAGCTTTTATTGATGTGCTTTCCTTCCTTCAAATGTACTCCACCAGCTCCAGTTTTAGCAATCCGCTCAGATCCAGCTAAATCTACCAAATTCTAGTTGAATACAGACAAATAAAAGGAATAAAGATAAGTCAGTGGCATAGATAAGCAGAACAAAACATCAAAATGATCAACAGCAACTAAACAAGCAAATAAAAACAAAAAAGAATGTCTAGAGAAGAATATTTGTAGAGTTTATTTCTAAACAGTAGTGAAAAAAGAAGTACAAACCAGGACAGATACACGAATGGCATCCGAATTTGAATGTTCACTAGAACTCGTATCCTTGCTCTTGCTTTCAATAACCTGATCAAATACAAAACCATTAAGCATCCATGGTTGGGGGAACCCAGAAAACAAATGAAACATATGACAACTGAAGTTACACTTAGAAACCAGCTTACCATCCTAAATATTGTGTGGGATCTGCTGCTTCGAGCATTCATGTTTGTCTGGCCAAAGTGTCGGTTAACTAGAAAAATCAGATTTTGAAATAAGTACACTCATGTGCATCTAGTGAAAAGAACTATATTGGAGATACCCTGTTAGACAGTTAGAGTACATTTATATCAATAGGATCAGACCTTCTCCCTGTTCAATAAGCTTAAGCACTTGTTCAGCATTGTTTACAATTTCCTCCCTAAGACCTGCAACAAAGATGCCACGCTAGAGAACAAGGAAAATCAGCCATACTATATGATAAAGAAGTTGCTCAAAAGGCAAATCCTTCTGCAGAGCTCACCTCTAAATTCTCATGAATTTGAAGTTTCTGATTCTCAGGGGAAAAAAGATCATTGATTTCTTCATTATAAATTTCCATGTAGGAAACTCGAATCAGAAATTCTCTGTCAAGTGCCTGGAGATATTAAATAATGATATGGTGAACAGAGAATTGCATAGTGTAGCCACATTTGGATCAGTCTCCAAAAGAAAAACAATAATACCATCTGAATATGTTGGAAAATGTCTCTAATAGCCAGGGGAATAATTCCGGGATTATCTTCACAACCATTCATAGTGAATGTCTTGCCACTGCTGGTCTGTCCATATGCAAATGCAGTTCCTGAAGATTTCACAATGATCAAGACCAATACATCATATGAAAAATAAAAATGATTCTCAAATATCGTTGTGACATACACTAAAGCATCAAGAACATTGCGAGCATTAACCTATATGCTAGTGCAGGTTATAGTCATCACTACGGCCTGCCGTAAGAGTAATTAATTGGATTCTTGCGAATTGTAGAAGGATTTCTACGAAAGGTTCAAACGCCATGATTTCATAAATCAGGTTGTTCTCAAAAGCTTAGTTCTTGTCTGTCTCTCATTGCCTTACAGTTGATAAAATAGACGAACAATGATTATGCTTCCTTCTTTTTTTTCTCAAAAGCCTTATGAAACACAGAGAATTACAAAACCTTGAGCACACATTGATCCATTTCTTCATGCAACATACCAAACAAAGATGCTAAAAAATAAAACGTACCATTAAAACCCTCAATGGCAGCTCTAATAAGGTCCTCAGTAAGAAGCTCATAGACTTTGGCGTTTGTGCAGTTTTGATCTAATACATGATCTACGAGCATCCTCAGCGAATCAGATATCTTGAATACTCGAAAAAAACGGCAGCATTGGTAAAAAACGAAAGGAATTAAATGAGAAAGAGRAGGGAGAATACCGAAAGCGTAGGAGGCGCCAGAAATAGGGATACCGATGGGATTGTGCAGAGAGATCCGGTTGTGTTCAACCTTCCAATAGAGCCCGCTGGAGACTTCTTGGATCACCGGAGCCGGAGGTCTAACTCGAACAGCTACGCAGATCTTCTCCATCKCCGCGCCACTTTCGTGCTGTCCAATTCCGCTAATCTCCTCTCTGTTCAAATGAAAAATCGGCGGGATTTTTTCGCAGAGCTTGCTTATAACTGGGATGTGCAATTACCGAAATGACCTTGTCAATCAAAATGATGAACATATTGATTTTCTGGACAGTTATTAATGGTATCTAGATGGAGATCGGATTTGCTCTCGCTCGCGGAGTGCGCCAGACACCAAACTCATCGTGCGTAGCAGCCTCAATTTAGAACATCTTCGTAATGATGTTGTTCTCGTTCAAAGAAAGATGTTCCAATGCACAGCTGCGACGCGCTGAGAGGTGCCCTTTGTGAGTAGCAAATCCGAATTCGAGTAGATGTCATTTGTGTGATGGGTGATGGACGGTTGGGCTACATGCGATGAGTCCGGATCTGCTCCTCGCACCTGGCGCCTCAAAACATCTTTATAAAATGTGAGGACGCCACGTGTCCCACGCCCATGCGAATTCTATACACGAGCGGAGGAGCCAAAAAGTCGTTAGGCCTCCATTTCCGTTAGCCCCCTCCCCCCACTCCTAAGCCTTATTTGTTATTTTCTAATTTTCTATTTTATTCCCACTCAAAGCCCCTGCCTCTTCTTGGCAGCCAACAATCTCACTGGCCAGAATAGATTCTGATGGCAGTACGAGGGCTTCCTCCGTTGGGTCTTTTTTCTTCACATGTAGGCTACGGCACCGATGACCATTCCTTCCTCTATTCCCAATCTTTCCAAGCTTTTGGTAGAGACTTCCATTAATTTTTAAGAATAAGTTAATATCATAAATTATTTTCCTCTTACCACTTACAACTTTCTTTGGTTTTTCTAATTTAGAGAATTCTTATTTTCACATTTGAAGATGAGTTTTTGGTTGATGGATCATGTGATTGTACATCAGAAACCTGATCTGAAGACTTTACTTTAGCTATTTTACCATCCATATGGGAAGGTGCTTTTGCAAGGTCAACATCCCAAATGCAAAGGCATACTGCTTCGGTTGAAACAACTGTTTGGTCTACTCACATATTACTACTGCAATTAAGCATAGAAGATGGTGGCTACACAGAATCTCCTCGAGTAACAAGTTGAGGATTCACATTCAATTCTTCTAGATGTTCAATTTCCATATGAAAACTACTATCTTGACAAGAACGAAAATTGTAGTTTGTTGAATTCAGCATAGACACAGATGATGAATGGACTAATGTTGTAGTTGCATAGGGATGAGAGTTTGGACAAGAAAAGAGAAATAAACAGAATTGCTGGAATCTTGTTTCATCGATGACCATAGGGTATTGTCGTCGGAATGTATTCTCACCGGTGAAATCACCAGCCGCTGGAAAAAACACTACAAGCGGTGGAGGACATTAGGGTTTCATTCTTTTGTTGCTAGAGAGAAAAGAGGAGAGGCAAGGGATTTAAGCGGGAATTGAACAGAAAACTAGAAAGTGTTGATTAACACTTGGGTGGGAGGGAGGGGAACTAACAGAATGGAGGTCTAAAGATTGTTCGGCTTTTCCACTCGTTTATAAAGTTCACATGTGTTTGAGGACGCGTGGCATTTCACATTTTGTGAGGACATTTTGAGGTGCCAGGCTGTAAGGAGCAGATCCGGGCTCACATGCGATCCCCCAATTATACATGGACATGTAAGCCTTTCACTGAAATTCAAAAAGGGTCATTTACTACGAAGCGCCATATATATATAGTTTGACGAATTTATTTAAACCTACCTTATAAATTCATTTTATTAAAGCACCTCTTATAGTTGGCATCTTATTTACTTAATTGATCTTTCATTTAAAAAAATGCTTATTTTGCCATCTGAAAATAATAACATGATCACAAAAAATGTAAACTGAATAAAAAAATGTTCAAGGGCATGGGCCATGATTGTTTATTCCAAAGATATCCTTAATATTTGTTCTTACAAAAAACAAAAATGATTAAATAGGACCAAATAGAGTAATGGCTTATGTTTTATTAGGGGCAAAATAGTATTTTAGTTTTATTACTTTTATTTATTCAAGTAGATATTAAAGTCAAAACTGTCATTTTTAACTATTATCTAATAGAATGCCAATTAAATAAAGGGAAAATGATGGTTCAGCCCAGGGTCAGAATTTTTAGACCCAAAATGCATTTGGGGTAGGTGCCAATATGAAATTGATACCAATTTTGGGCGGACATTAATATATAGAATGAGGTATTTGACATTTTAAATATTTATAGTTCTGCAGTATAATTCAAAAATCTATCGTTATTTCTCCGTTAAATAAATTGAGGGTGTTTTAGTATGACTTAATTCAAGACATCACATTATATGCGACCAGCAGTTTATCAACTCTAGCCTCGAGGGACTAGGGCGCTAGGGGCCTGGGAGTTCTTAATTCTATGGTTCTTTGACTTCTTGAACACGTACAAGAATATGATTGTTCATCGTTAATAAATATATGGCTTGAATATTGTGTTTCTATTAGAGTGCTAGTCATAGATCCAAATATCATAGAAAATGGTTAAGTGATTTTATTCATGATATCATATTGCCTAAAATCATTTCTAATTTATTTATTAATAATATAGTGTATTTTAATTTTAAATTTATTAATGATATGGAAAAAATATGTGAATATGTAACCGATCCAATGGATCCCTTCTCCTGTGTATTGATGGATGATCTTGATTTTTTTTGTTTTTTGGAAGGATGGATGGTCTTGATTAACCATGCATAACACTAGATCACTCTGTGCATGGCAGAAATACTTGGGTTCCTTTAGCAAGGGGAAGCTCCAAATTTGACTCCATTAATGAAAACCGTTGTATGAAAAAAAAAAAGACAGAAAAACGTAAAAGTTAAAAGTCCTAAATCTCAAACTTCATAATTTAGTGAATATATATTTATTTATTTTGTAAAAAAAAATAAATTTCTTTATTTTATTTGATCCCCTATTTGAGTGGGGGCAATTGTAAAAAAAAATTCTTTATAATTTTCATAATTATACAAACCTTTGTTCAAATATCAGTGGGGGCAATTGCCCACACTGACTTTAAAAATCCAGCTATATATCAAACCATTATTTTTTGATGATTGATCTTGTAATGAGGATGAGGGTAGAAGTAGAAAACTGCATTTTTTGGGACCGATTTTCAAGAAAAAACGTCCATGCTTCCACAACCCATTTTTCACAAAAAAAAAAAAAGCTTCTGCCACATAGGCAGAGAAACATTATGCTGTTTGGTAAGATGATTTTTATCACCATTTTTCATGTACGTACTGACAGGTAAGCACCAGATAGGATATACATCAGTCAACCGTTGGAGGAAACGGTTCCCCGATACTACATCAATGGGGTCCCAATTTTTTAATAATCAGTTGAACCAAACAATGAAATACATGGGCATTTGTTGAAATACCTATTTGGATCCAATGTAAACAGTTCCAAATATCCCCCAAGTCAATTGAGGATGGATGAACTCGATAGTGGATCAAGGTGCAAGGTGTGCTGAGTGTGAGAGTATTTAGGGAAAGAATAGACGTGAGAATGAGAAAGAGTTGTATCTTCGATGATTCGCCTATTTATAAAGGAAATAGTTGTTAGGTGTGGGAATAATAGATCCCATACTACCTCTCTAGGTCAGTCTATCTTCTTTGTAATGCTCCAGTTGAGTGTATATGATTGGCCATTAGCCTGTGATAAGTGCATGAGTGTAAATGGCCGAGTCAGGTCGATCCACATGCATTAGCTTGGCAATGGTTACTGTTTTGCAAGTCACAATTAGGTCGCTTGGTGGAATTACCAAGCTACCCTTCAAGGTGGCATGAATTTACCAAATTGCCCCCAAGGTGGGATACGTAAATCTTTTCCTAATGGGAATTAGGGAAAATTCCTGATAGGTATTCTGTACTTTAGGTCAAGTGCGAATTTAATACTCGAACTTTAAAACATGACAATCTAATATTCGAACTTTCATTTTGCGACAATTTAGTACCTATCGTTAATAGACCGTCAGTTATGTATATCACATGATCTCATGTGCGATTTAATATTTTTAAAATATCAAAATTATCCTTGGACACTGTTCATCATCTTCTTTCTCAAGAAAATGAAAGAGAACCCAAACACACTATTCATCATCTTCTTTCTCAAAAAGACGTTTTGACTACTTTACCTCTGATTAGTCGCAGCAGCAAATCTCTTGTCGTCGGCAACTTCTTCTTCTCCGGCTTGGGAATCCTATAAGAGGAGCCAAAGAAAATGGGGTCTGAGTGCACAATAAAATCGTTGCACCAAGACAGGAAAGAAAAAGGAAATAAAAGAACGAGAGGGGAGAATCAGCTAATGTGCGCCCGGGTGTGTACCAGTTAAAAAGGGGTCTGGTTTAGATCACCGGCGACATCGGAAAGCTGGTGCAGTTTTTGAATAAAATTTGAAGAAAAAAAGAAGAGAGAGAGAAGAAGAAGAAGAAAAAGAAAAAGAAGACAAGGAGAAATAACGAATGAGAAAAATGGAAAAAAACGGAGAAATGATTTGACTAATCTTCAGTCTTCACCTGGGTAGAAATAGGACTGTTGTGCATGCAATCGAGCTGATGAGATGAGTGGTGGGATTCATCTTTCTCGGTGCTTGAGAAAATCCAGCTGTCGGTTCCTTTAGTCATGGTGAGCTGCAGATTGAAGCGTTGTCGATCCTCCTGCTTGGGTCGACAGAGGGGTGGGCTAGGTGCCGAATTGGAGGGTGGACGGAGGTGGTGTCGGTTGTTTTTTGTAAGGGGAAAATCGGAGTAGGGGTGCAATGACCGTTTTGGTTCTGAAGATGGTACAAGGGAAGGTGATGGTGGTTGGGGCGTGGAAGAGGTGAGATCTAGTGCTGGCCATCGCTTTCTGATCCTCATCGATGACGGAGTGGACAGAGAGAGAAAGTGAGGGAGAAGATGAGAGACGAGAGATGAGGACAACTCCGGCGGCGTCTGCAACGATTAATATTTATAAAACCTGGTTTTAGCCCTTTTGAACTGGTATCAGATACCATCACCGGCAGTCTGCCAAGTGATCTTAATGTTGGTATGAGGGATTTGTCCGCTGAGGTTGTTATGCCTAGGATCGAAGTTTATTATCATCGGTAGTCTGCCAAGTCATATTTGGGATCTCGCCGGAGAAATGATTGAAGGAGAGGTTTAGAGTCCC